TCATTCCATAAGGCCAAGATCACCCTGATACCAAAAGCAGACAAGGACACAACAAAAAAAGAAAAGTACAGACCCATATCTCTGATGAACACAGATTCAAAAATCTTCAACAAAATACAAGCAAGTTGAATCCAACAGCATATTAAAAAGAGAATATACCATGATCAGGAGTGATTTATACCAGGAATGCAAAGATGGTTCGACATTCCCAAATCAATAAATGTGATACATTACATAAACAGAATTAAGAACAAAACCGTATGATCATCTCTATGAAAGTGGAAAAAGCAATTGATAAAATTCAATGACCTTTCATCATAAAAATCCTCAACAACCTAGGCATAGAACAAAACATACTTCAACATAATAAAGGCAACATATGACAAACCTACAGCCAACAACATACTTAACAGGGAAAGGTTGAAAGCATTCCCTCTAAGAATTGGAACGAGACAAGGATGTCTACTTTCACTACTTTTATTTAACGTAGTACTACAAGTCCTCACCAGCACAATCAAACAAGAGCAAAAAAAAAAAAAAAGGCATCCAAATGAGAAAAAAGGAAGTTAAATTATCACTGTTTGCTAATGATATCATCTTATATCCAGAAAACCTACAGAGTCCACCAAAAAACTCTTAGATTTGATAAATGAATTCAGTAGTTTCAGGATAAAAAATTAATATACAAAAATCAGTACTATTTCTATACAGCAACAATAATCTAGCTGAGGACCAAATCAAGAAGGCAATTCCACTTACAGTGCTACAAAAAATAATAATAATAAAATACCGGGCATATATTTAATCAAGGAGGTAAAAAATTCTTATAAGGAAACAACAAAGTACTGATATAAAAAATCAAAATGACACAAACAGAAAAACATACCATGCTTCCAACCCTTGGTCATGATTTGGAAAAATCAATATTTTTAAAATGACATACTGCCTGTATTAGTCTGTTTTCACATTGCTGATAAAGACATACCCGAAACTGGGCAATTTACAAAAGAAAGAGGTTTATTAGACTTACAGTTCCACGTGGCTGGGGAGGCCTTACAATCTTGGCAGAAGGCAAGGAGGAGTAAGTCACATCTTATGTGGATGGCAACAGGCAAAAAAAAGAGAGCCTGTGCAGAGACACTCCCATGTTTAAAATCATCAGATCTCATGAGACCCATTTACTATTATGAGAACAGCACAGGAAAAACCCACATGATGATTTAATCATCTCCCACCTGGTCCCTCTCACAACATGTGGGAATTATGGAATCTCCACAGAGCCAACCCATATTATTCCATCCCTGCCCCCTCCCAAATCTCATATCTTCATATTTCAAAACCAATCATGCCTTCCCAACAGTCCCCCAAGTCTCAACTCATTTCAGCATTAACTCAAAAGTCCACAGTCCAAAGTCTCATTAGACAAGACAAATTCCGTCCACTTATGAGCCTGTAAAAGGTAAAGCAAGTTAGTTACTTCCTAGATACAATGGGGGTACACGCATTGGGTAAATACAGCCATTCCAAATGGGAGTAATTGGCTAAAAAAAAGGGGCTACAGGGCCCATGCAAGTTTAAAATCCAGTGGGGCAGTCAAATCTTAAAGCTCTGAAATAATCTCCTTTGATTTCATGCCTCACATCCAGGTCATGCTGATGCAAGAGGTAGGTTCCCTAGTCTTGGGCAGCTTCACTTCTGTGGCTTTGCAGGGTACAGCCTCTCTCCTGGTTGCCTTCATGGTGTGGTGTTGAGTGCCTGTGGCTTTTCCAGGTACATGGTGCAATCTGTCAGTGGATCTACCATTCTGGGGTCTGGAGGACAGTGGCCCTCTTCTCATAGCTCCACTAGGCAGTGACCCAGTAGGGACTCTGTGTGGGGGCTCCCACCTCATGTTTTCCTTCTGCACTGCCCTAGCAGAGTTTCTTCATGAGGACCCCACCCCAAGAGCAAACTTCTGCCTGGGCATCCAGCAGTTTCCATACATTTTCTGAAATCTAGGAGGTGGAGGTTCCCAAACCCTGATTCTTGACTTCTGTGCACTCACAGGCTTAACACCATGTGGAAGCTGCCAAGGCTTGAAGCTTGCACCCTCTGAAGCCACAGCCTGAGTTATATATTTGTCCCTTTCCGCCATGGCTGGAGTGGCTAGGATATAGGGCCCCAAGTCCCTAGGTTGCACACAGTGCAGGGACCCTGGGCCCAGCCCAAGAAACCACATTTTCCTCCTAGGGCCTCCAGGCCTTTGATGGGAGGGGCTGCCATGAAGACCTCTGACATGCCCTGGAGACATTTTCCCCATTGTCTTGGGAATTAACATTCAGTTCCTTGTTACTTATGCAAATTTCTGCAACTGGCTTGGATTTTTCCTCAGAAATGGGATTTTCTTTTCTATCTCATTGTCAGGTTGCAAATTTTCCAAACTTTTATGCTCTGCTTCCTTTATAAAACTGAATGCCTTTAACAGCACCCAAGTCACTTTTTGAACGCTTTGCTGCTTAGAAATTTCTTCTGCCAGATACCCTAAACCATCTCTCTCAAGTTTCAAGTTCCACAAATCTCTAAGGCAGGGACAAAATGCCACCAGTCTGTTTCCTAAAATGTAACAAGAGTTACCTTTGCTCCAGTTCCCAACAAGTTCCTCATCTCCATCTGAGACCACCTCAGCCTGGACGTTATTGTTCATATCACTATCAGAATTTTTGTCAAAGCCATTCAACATGTCTTTAGGAAGTTCCAAACTTTCCCACATTTTTCTGCCTCCTTTTGAGCCTTCCAATCTCTTCTAACCTCTGCCTATTACCCAGTTGCAAAGCCACTTCCACATTTTCAGGTATCTTTTCAGCAGCGCTCCACTCCCAGTACCAATTTACTATATTACTCCATTTTCATGCTGCTGATAAAGACATATCCAAGACTCGGCAATTTACAAAAGAAAGAGGTTAATTGGACTTACAGTTCCACATGGCTGAGGAGGCCTCACAATCATGGCGGAAGGCAAGAAGGAGCACGTCACATTTTATGTGGAGGGCAGCAGGCAAAAAAGAGAGCTTGTGCAGAGAAAATCCTGTTTTTGAAACCATCAGATCTCATGAGACCCATTCACTATCACAAGAACAGCACAGGAAAAACCCACCCCCATGATTCAATCATTTCCCACCTGGTCCCTCTCACAACATATGGGAATTATGGGACCTCCAAGATGAAATTTGGGTGGCAGCACAGAGCCAAACCATATCATCGCCCAAAGTTACTTATAGATTCAATGAAATCCCTATCAATTACCAACATTATTTTTCACAGAATTAGAAAAAAACAATCCTAAAATTCACATGAAACCAAAAAAGTGCCCAAAGAGTGAAAGCAATCCTAAGCAAAAAGAACAAAGCTGGAAAAATCACAGTACCTGACTTCAAATCATACTACACAGCCATGATAACCAAAACAGCATGGTACTGGTCTAAAAATAGACACATAGGTCAATGAAACAGAATAGAGAACCCAGAAATAAATCAACGAACCTACAACCAACTGATCTTTTACAAAGTAAAAAATATGTATATACACTCGGGAAAGGAAACCCTTTTCAATATATGATGCCAGGAAAATTGGATAGTCATATGCAGAAGAATAAAACTGGACTCATACTTCTTACCATATACAAAAATTAATTCAAGTTAAATTAAAGAACTAAATGTAATATCTGTAAGTATAAAAATCCTAGAAGAAAACCTAGGAAAAACTTTTCTGGACATTGGCCTATTCAAAGAATTTGTTATCAAGTCTTCAAAATCCAAATTAACATAAACAAAAATTGACAAATGAGACTTAATTAAACCAAAAAACCTCTGCACAGCAAAAGAAGCTATCAACAGAGTAAACACAAAACCTACAGAATTAGAAAACATATTTGCAAACTATGCATCCAACAAGGGCTAATATCCAGAATCTATGAGAAACTCAAACAGCTCAACATGAAAAAAGCCAAATAACTCTACTAAAAAGTGAGCAAAGGACATGAACAAATATTTTTCAAAAGAAGACATACAAGTGGCCAATAGACATATGAAAAAGTGCTTAAAATCACTAATCATAAGAGAAATGCAAATAAAAACCACAATGAGCCACCATCTCATACCAGTCAGAATGACTATTATTAAAAAGTCAAAAAAAAAACGCAAAATAGATGTTGACAAGGTTGTAGGAAAAAAAAAAAAAGGGAATGCTTATACACTGTTGGTGGAACTATAAAGTAGTAAAACCTTTATGGGAAACAGTATGAAGAATTCTCAAAGAACTAAAAATAGAATCATCATTCAATCCAGCAATCCCATTACTGGGTATATACCCAATGGAAAGAACTAATTATACCAAAAAGATACCTGCACTTCTTTCAAAACGATTCACAATAGCAAAGATACAGAATCAACCTAAGTGTCTATCAATGGAGGACTGAATAAAGAAAATGTGGTATGTGTATATATATACATATATATATAGGAACACTACTCAGCTATAAAAAAGAAGGAAATCATGTCTTTTTTGGTAACATGGATGTGACTAGAGGCCAGAATCCTAACTGAAATAACTCAAAAACAGAAAGTCAAATACCACATGTTCTCACTTACAAGTGAGAGTGAAACAATGGGGACACATGGACATACGGAGTAAAATAATAGACATTGCAGACTACAAAAGGTGGGAGGCTGGGAGAGGGGATGAGGGCTGAAAAATTACCTATTGGGTAGAATGTTCACTATCTGGGTGATGGACAACTAAAAGCCCAGACTTCACCACTATGCAATATATGCATGTAAGAAATCTGCACTTGAACCCTCTAAATTTATTAAAAATTTAAAATAAATAAAAAATAATTAAAAGAAGAAATTTAAGACAAAAGAGATACATGATAAGGTCAAGGTTAAATACAGAGTTAGTAGTGAAACAAGGCCTAATGTCCCATTTCTCAATACAACACTTTTCTTTGTTTTTCCTTTCTTTCATGTCAGACGGGTAATGTGCCGACCTCATAATAAGGTTGAGGGTGGCACATTTCACACATGCGTGTGAACACCCAATCATCATCTCATGAACTACAAAAGGATTTACAACATTCTTTTTATCATAGTACTTTGTTTTACACATTCCCAAACGAAGAGACAGCCTCCTTTATATGCATTATTATTTAAGAATCTGTATACCATCTGAAGCTGAATACCATCTGAAGCTGAATTCCAACTACACACTCTCTGGAACAGAATGGCTTCTTTTATACAGGATGGCTGATCTCCAAACCCATATCTCAAAGCTATCAATAGCAAAAAGAAACATCAATAGTCTGGAAATGTATCCCACCCGGGCAAGCACAAATTAAAGCCCCACAAGTAGGGGGTTCCCCTTGTCCCCAAGGGACTAGAAAGGAATTTCACTTTGCCTCATCCCACTAGCTCTATTCCAACATTCTGGCACTTACAAACATTAAATATTTAATGAGCACCTATTATATGCCAGGCACTGTGCTACATGCTAGACAGTGAATAAGATATACAACCTCAATCCTCAAGGAGGTTGTCATCTGTGAGAGATGACAATTAGAGGTAATTACAGTACAGTACATGAAGGATTAAGAGTAAATCCATATTACCCTGAGAGCACAGGCATCATCCACTACTGACCAGGGAGAGAGGATTCAAATGGGAAGGGATTTGAGAGAAGGAGGAGTGAGAGTGCAATGTAACCAGTGAGTGGAGAATTAAGCTATTGAATTACTCGATTCACTCAACTGGGAAAGTATCTAAACTAAATAATTGTTTTGGATGTTTTAAGTGATACATGGTTTACTTCCAGGCTTTGGTAAATGCTTCTATAAACCTCATAATCACACTGTAACTTATCTATTTTGTAAAGTCAGCTTTTTACACACTGAATTTACTTAAAAGAGACTTCCTGCTACACTTGTAAAAGACTACTGTATCACCTCCCTCTTCCCACTCTCTAATTAAGTTGTCAAAAATGTTTTTCATTGTATTTGTTTTGGTTCTTAAAAAACCAATATGTAAGTCAAACAACATGGTTTACATATATTTCCATAACTGTCTTGCCATATTTTGTCACACCCACTAATCAGATATTTTCCACTCATCTCTCTGTTGTATGTGAAGCTGGCAGAAGACAATATTCTAAATTGCTTTCCAACTGCATCACCTCAAAAGACTTAAAAACACATTAACCTCAGGCAAGATAACATGCTTTCATTTTGCAAGAAAGTAAAACACTAATTATTGTCACAAAGCCTTCCTTAAAGGTCAAAAATAAATCCATAAATGCAATAAAATTGAGGGAAAACTTAACCTAAACCTTAAAGGAATAAAGTCTTGATCTTGGAGTAAATATTTTTAAAACCTCACTATAATTGTACTTTTTGTGTGCCATAGTACCAAAACAAAGGAATTAATTAGGACACATTAATCTTGTGTTTGTTTGTTTTGTTTTGTTTCAGTCTCACAAGTATACGTGTAACTTACTTGTCTCACTTAAGTTACTTGTCCATATTTTGGGTCAATAGATATCTGCTTAGAAGAAAGCATGCACTTTGAACAGTGCTATTAATAATATCTCCACTGTATTGTCATATATTTTTTCTAGTGAACTGAAATCAACAGCAAAAATGCCCCATTTATTTCAGTAGGACTGAAGAAAATTTAAAAATTTATGTAGTAAAAACAATATGTGTGAGCCACCTGTTTGCTTTTTAACTAAATGAATTGGTATGGAATGACAGCTGCTGCAAAACCAACACACTTCAAATACTGTATATTACTTTGCCAAGAAGACTAAATTTTGGTATCATTTACTTTATTACCATGGGACGTGTTAATGGAGATTCTTACAGAAGAGCACTGTAATGAATATTTCTAGCCACTAAGTGTCACTGTTCATTTAAATTTTTTTTTTAACTACGCTGATGGGCATGGTGACTCAGAATCTTTTGAATGGGGTCAATCAGAAAAAATAAAAATGATTAGATTACATAACACACTTAAAGCAAAGCACAGACACTACATGAATGTAAACTGCTTAAGAGGAATTCCTAGAGATAGAGGTGTTGCTCTCAGTGGAATGCCAACTGATCATATCAGACATTTTGCAAGCTTAAATAAGGTTTGAGCTACACTAAGCCTTGTAATCTGTTTTTACCAATATAAATGCCAAAACTGAATTGCCACTATAAAGTCTGCCAAGTATCTTTGTATTGTATGTCAGTATGCTGTTTTCTTTCATAGTGCCATCAATAAACATGTCTGGGGATCAACTGCTTGTGATCGGATATGCTACTTTCATTGTTTCAAGCTGAGCTGATACTGCATGAAATGCCAGTGCCAGAGAGGTTCCATTCAGGCTTGAACATTTGAGGGAGGAAGTAAGGCAGGCTTCCCCCTACCCTGCATACAAAAATTTAGGTTAATGTAAGAATATCCCTGGTGCTCACAAGATACAGACATCATTTCCTAGACATGCATAAATTTTAGACAACAGCATAATGCTCCACCCCTTGCAGGTTCTAGTTAAATAATTCAAGAGATACATACTCAGAGTTTTAGAGAGTAAGATTTTTAGCCGTTCTACTCACCATATGTAATGGTCTTGTTTTCTCAAGGCAGCAATATCATCATATATTTTTCTGGTTATGCCGCTATACTATTACAGGATTAAAATGTATGTTGTTGCCGGAGTTCCACTTCAGCTAAAGAACCCTTTCCATTTTTTCCCCGAAATAAAGAACCTACACCTAGAATTGCTCAAATCTCTATCTCTTCTTGCAAGACAGAGCGCATCCGTTTTGAAATAACAGTTTTTGTAGCTTCTACTGTTCTCATCGAAGTGGGTGTGTTTGGGGGTCTTTTTGGTTTGGTTTGTTTTTTGTTCTGTTTGTCCAATCTGGAGCATTTTATCTCAGGCAATCTTTTATAGTTACAATACAAGACAGCAAAAGAAATGATGGTAAAAGTTAACATAAAAAAGTAAGTACTTTAAATGTTCACAGCTGAGAGAAGTGTTTGTACAGGGCAGGAATGGGCAAGTAAAACTTTATAAAAATAGTATGTTCCTGAAAAGTACACCTTAATAAGTAGATAGAATTTCCTGAGACCTAAAAGTGGAGAGAGGGCATTCTATGTAGATGAAATAGTATAGCAAAGATGTTGAAGTAGTATATTTTAAGATAGCGAGCAAGGATTTCACATTAGAAAGTAGTAGGTACAAGGATTAAAAGAACTTTTGGAACCAGACCAGAATAAAAAATTAATATTAGTTTTAACTCATCCAAACTAAGAGATGATGGGAACCATTAAAACTTTTTAACACAAGAATGACTTTTTTAAAGTGTGTTCAAAAGATTAATAGGGGTGTATAGGAAAGTTTGAAAACAGCAAATGACAATTTTAAAATATTTTTAAAGATATATTGTGGAGGCCGGGCGCGGTGGCTCACGCCTGTAATCCCAGCACTTTGGGAGGCCGAGGCGGGTGGATCACAAGGTCAGGAGATCGAGACCATCCTGGCTAACACAGTGAAACCCCGTCTCTACTAAAATTACAAAAAAAAAAAATTAGCCGGGCATAGTGGCGGGCGCCTGTAGTCCCAGTTACTCCGGAGGCTGAGGCAGGAGAATGGTGTGAACCTGGGAGGCGGGGCTTGCAGTGAGCTGAGATCACGCCACTGCACTCCAGTCTGGGCAGCAGAGCGAGACTCCGTCTCAAAAAAAAAAAAAAAAAAGATATATTGTTGACATATTTCAAGAGTATTAAAAATGTTTAAATGTTTACAACCAGTAAATTCTTCTGTTGAACAAATAATCCACAAAAATTAAAATAAAGAAATTCAAAATTCACAAAAAGAAAATAATAGGTACACAAAAATTATAGCAACAACTCTAAAGGAAAAAAACACCTCAATGTCCAAAATTGGGAAAAGTATGACACATATTCCTAATAGAATTTTAAGTGGACTATGTAAATTATGTGGAAAAATTAAAAAAGTTATGATACATAAACAGAATATTACTTAACCATAATTTGGAGCGCAAAAATCATCCCAGGGGCAATGTTTGTTTGTCTAGGCCATTAGTAATAAGGTAGTTGAGGAAACAGTCTATCCCCACTGTAAGCTGTAAAAAGTATTACTGTTAGGTAAAAGCTGGCCTTGGCAGGAAGAAACTGAACCCAGAATCTAAGGCAGGAGCTCCTACTTCCATAACAATCTGAGTGCTTGGACAATACCTTGGACTGGTGGTGGTAAGTCTTCCAGAATATCATCCTATTATTCTACTCATGGAAGAGGACTTGCAGTCAAGTTGAACAGGGACTACTAGGTCCTGTAATTCCTTTCATTCCTTCCCTCAGTCACTTTTGCACAGTCCTACAAGTGAACATGGGTCAGGTTCGGGTGACAGTCAACATATAGGCATGAATCAAGATAAGTTTTGGGTTTTATGAAACAGGGCCTTTAATGGAACATGAAGGGCTAGGCAGCTGTAGGTTGAGACAGGATACAAGGCATTGAAGGATTTCATATTTCTCCCATTGCTGCCTTCAGCTGTACTAGCTCCATTCTACCTTTTCCCATCCCTGTCATTTCCTAACTGACATCTTGGAAGGACTGAAGACCTTTCTGGATCATTTTTCAGATATAAAACAGCCCAGTCCAGTTTGAAATTTCCAACTTAAGAGCTCACTTCATCCCTTCCCCTGAAGTGTTGTCCAATCCTTAGCCTGAAAGACTTAAGAGTAAGAAAGAAAGTAATCTGATCTTTCATTCTTCCTCCCCCAGCCCCATTTACAGGCCCCTTTGTCCTGGCTTGTTGTGGTAAGGAGGAAGAAGTTGAAAAGAGACAAGTGGCTTTTTCTTATTGGATCCCTGTTGTTATCCTTTCTTGGCCAAAGCTGGGTATTTATGAACTCTGTGTGGCAGGCATTAAAATGCTGGTTCTTTCATTAGGCAAATGTGGTTTCATAAGGTGGTAAATCTGTCTCCAGTTTATCCTCTTCCAATGCTCCCTCAGTGTGTACCCTGGAGAACAATTCACTTTACATCCTCTTTCTGCCAG